CACCTTGTTATCTCAGATTCTCCACCATCTGCAGTTCCTACTACCTCAGCAGTCAGAGGTTTTTTTTTAACCCTCCCGGCCATAACCCGAGGTGGCCCTCTACTCACTGAACGGGCCCCGGCGTGTACCCACCGCCAGCCGCACGGGCCCCGGGGCGTACCCACCGCCAGCCGCACGGGCACGGGCCCCGGGGCGTACCCACCGCCAGCCGCACGGGCACGGGCACGGGCCCCGGGGTGTACCCACCGCCAGCGGCACGGGCACGGGCCCCGGAGTGTACCCACCGCCAGCCGCACGGGCACGGGCCCCGGGGCGTACCCACCGCCAGCGGCACGGGCACGGGCCCCGGCGTGTACCCACCGCCAGCCGCACGGGCACGGGCACGGCCCCCACACCACGTCATCAGCGATAACACAGTGTGGAGCGGGAAGGACCGTTAACCCTTTTAGCTCGAGACCCTGCTGCATTGTCTCGTTACTCCAGCATCGGCAGTTCACAACCGTCTCCACACGTCATCAGGCTGCGCCACAGGCTGGTGACGCACTCTGTGCGCACCCAGAATAGACATGGCGACGGTTGATAGCAGAGGTGAGGCGTTCTGTACCCGGGGCTGGGGAAAGGGAGACTCTCTCCTGCGGGCTGGTGTATTCTGACCCTGCTCCGGAGGAGAGAGCAGAACGCGTCCCCAGGGATAATATTTCGGTTTTCTGTAGTGTATTTTTTCATGTTTTCTTCTGTTTGCCTGTGTGTGTTTATTATTTTGGAGCATTAGAGCACTATCTTAACCAATAGCCTTTGCCTGGTTATGTCGGTATTAGTTTGTCGTATTCAAAGTTTGATGTTTATTCCTCTTGTCTGCACAGCTTGCTGATGCACCATTTATTAAAATTGGCAGAATATACGAGACTTTTTGTCTCTTAATGTTTTGTTCTAAGGACCCCAATTCTGTACTTATGCCGCTGTCTAACTTCTCTCTCTGAGCTCATCTTGCCCAGATGCGTTCCCACCTGCTATTGTCATCCAATCCCAGAAATCGGATTACCACCCAATTTTTCTTCTTAGCCCCAATGTTAGACAAGGCTGAGAATCTTACTGTAGGAAATTCAGCAGTCAAATTCTATTTGGCAGTATCCCAAAAGCAGCAGTGGGATAGTGATCAGATCATTCGAACATGATTGAATCATTCCTGATTTTGGCAAACTGATTGCTATTGGTCAGGTTCCCTGGAAGAACTTCCCTCTTCTTCAAATGGTGTAATGCGATTTTTGTTTACACGTACTTGAGAAGGACCAAGAGGCCAGGCCGCAGTTTAACATCTCATCTGAAAGGTTACAGATCAGTTAGTGCTCCCTTAGAACTGCATTGGAGGGTAAACATTTCATGCTAATCTGAGCATGTCTGAAAAGTAGGATTCAGCACTAGAGACAATTGCACAGATGATAAAACAGAGATGGTGGGTGCCCAGTAGACTAGAGTCAGAAGTCAGGAAGGTTCAGTAGGGAACATAATGTTTGAGAATTTTGCAGTGCTAGGGTGGATTTTTATAGATTTAGCTGTGACAAAGGTGGAATAATTGTGTTAAGGCATTTGATAGTTCAGTCAGTAACAGTCATAGAATCATTAAATCTGTGCTGACCTGTCTACACAGATAACACACTGCAACACCCCGGAGCTGCGCAAAAATGAAGAGGAACGCTTATACAAAATCTTTACGAACAATGGGTATCCTAACAGCTTCAACTGCCGATGCCTGGCAAATAAAAAACACCAAGAAGACACTGTATGCCCCAACACACTCACCCCCCCCCCCCCCCATATTAGAAACACATTGGAACTGACTTCAAGATTCCTACGACCCCTTAGAATAAGGATAGCACACAAACCAACTGCCACACTTCGCCAGTTACCCTCAAAGACCCCATACCCGCAATGAGCAGGACAGATCCGATATACAAAGTGCCATGCAACAACTGCAAGAAACACTAAATAGGATAGATGGGCAGGAAACTCGCACCAGGATACGTGGACACCAACTCGCAGCAAAATGGCACGACCAACTCTCCCTCATTACAATACAGTCCGACATAGAAGAGACAAAGTAACAGTACTAGGACAAGCAAAACAAAACAAGCACGAGAATTCCTGGAGGCCTGGTTTTCAACCACTGGTACGATAAACAAACATGTTGAAATAGACCCCATCTACATACACTATGGTGCAAGGCAGTGGACTACCCCACGTGACAGACTGGACCATATAAATTCAGAGCAGGACGGAACAACAGCGCTTCAGCGGACGCTAGACAGAACTGAAGATGTCACCTAGAAGGGAGACAAAATGTTTGCGTGAAAACCAGTCAGCTTGGCAAACCAACCAACAACTCCATACAAATCCCACTTTCCAGCACTTGGCCTATAGCCTTAAATGTTACGACATCTCAAGCACCATCCGTGTAATTTTTTTAAACGTTCCTGTCTTACTGCCCTCCCAGGCAGTGCATTCCAGATTCCCACCACGCTCTGGATGAAAAAGAGTCTCCTTAAATTCCCTCTAAACATTCTGCCCTTCCCCTTAAAATGATGCCCCTTCACCATTGACCTTTCACCTAAGGGAAACAGCTACTTCGTATCCACCCCATCTTTGCCCCTTATGATCTTATACACCTCAGTCAGGTCCCTTTCAGCCTTGTCTACTCTAAGGAAAATAACCTGAGCCTCTATTCATAGCTTTAAAGGCTGCAACGTTAGCAATATCCTGGTGAATCTCCTCTGCACCCCTCCAGTGTATTTGCATCCTTCTCATGGTTTGTTGACAAGAACTGTACACAACACTCCCTGTGGCTTAACCAAAGCTCTAACATAACCTTCCTGCTCTTACAATATATGCCATGACTGATCAAGGAAAGTGTCCCATATGCTTTCTTATATTCACCATATTAATCAGCCCTGTCATGTTCAGGGATCTGTGCTCAAGCACCCCAAGATCCCTTTGTCCTCTGAGCATCCTAATCCTGCCATTCATTGAGTGTTCCCTTATCTTCCACTTCACAATGTTCGTGGTTAAATTCCAGCTGCCACTGATCCTCCCATCTGACAAGTTTGTCTATATTCTCCTGTAACCTAAGACATTCTTCCTCACCGTCAACCACCTGCCAATCTTCATGTTCTCCACAAATTTACTTATCATGTCCCCCACATTCTTAGCTATGTTATTTATATGTATCACAAACAGTATGAACTCAACACTGATCCCTGTGATACGCCAGTGACCCCATGAGTAAGCGTCACTCGACTCAACATTAATTCTGTTTTCTGTCCATGGATGCTGCCGGAACTGCTGATTTTCCAGCAATTTCAGTTTTTATTCATTTCAGACGTCCAGCATCAGCAGTTCTTTATTTTACTTTTATCACCGTCCTCTATTTCCTACCACTAAGCCAATTTATCCTGGCTCCCATGTGCTTTTATCTTCTTTATCAGTCTCTTATGTCGGTCCTTGTCAAATGTTTTGGTGAAATGCATATAAATTACATCAACTGCACTACCCTCATCTACACATCTCAATCCTGAAAATTTGTATTTGTTTGAATGACTTCCTTCTGACATAGCCATGCTGATTATCCCTGATCAAACCTTGCCTGTTCAAGAGAAAATTAGTTGTCTCCTTCAGAATTTTCATCAATAGTTTAACATTGGGCTGTATAGATCACAATATCTTTGTTTTAATTTCCAAGCGTGCATTAAATAATCTTAAGGTGATAGGCAGCCTTAATACGACTTAGGGTTTAGAAGGGGAAGTACAGACAGTGTTCCCACTATTATGGCTCTTGCTTAAATGTGTACAAATCGGATGAAGAAAGGATTAAAACTTGCCGAGATGCCTTTGTATTTGAATAGCCTGACTGATTGGCATGTGGAATGGATGCTTGGGTAAGGCAATAGAGGATAATTGCTGCTCGAATGATCGCCTAGTACTGCTTTCAGAAGATGGGAGACAGGAAGAATTCAGTGGCTTTTTTTCTGATACCTAGTTACCTGTGCAAGTACCTGTGACAACATTTATGTGTTTTCTCCACTTCCTTTGCATTCTGAATGGATTATTCCAATTAACATTTTTAAAAATATTTTTCTTATATTCATGTCATTCTGTTTCTTCAGATAACCTGCTGGGGATTTCATGGGTGGACAGTGCTTGGATTCCGATATTAAATCCAGGAAATGTGCTTGACTACTTCTCGGAAAGAAGCAACCCCTTTTACGATCGCACTTGCAATAATGAGGTGGTCAAAATGCAGCGTCTCAGCTTGGAACATTTGCAGTAGGTGTTGGTTGATAATGAGCACAGCCTGAATTGCGGTTGTGTTTACCATTTTCCCAGAATAGCAATGTAAAATCTAAATCCATTTTCCATTCAGTAATGATTTTTAAAGTTAACATTTGCATTTGTGCTACATTGTTGTAGATTGACTAGACATTCAACATGATAATATATGGTGATTATAAGAAAACATGGAAAAGTAATTCTTGACCATGTATAAGTCAGCGCTTTTGATAGCCTTGCTGAAGAGCTAATAATTTGACAGAATTGATTTTGGTTTAATGGCCTAAGGTATAAAGAAATGATGATCCTAATTTCAAGAATTTACTCAATTTTCTATATTAAGAACTTCAATTTTCTAAATAAAGATCTGAATTATTCTCAATTTTCTGTACTTTTTACATTCAAATCCATTACTTTGTTTTTCTTTTGATTAATGTTTTAGCTTTTCACTCGCTTGTCTTAGTAAAATTGTGGTAAAAGGCTGATTGGGGCCACATAGGGCCCTAGAAGGGAATTTACACATGGTGGCTGAGGTCTTAAGTGAATACTTTACATCTGTCTTTACCAAAGAGCAGGATGCTGCCTGGGTAATAATAAAGGGGGAGGTAACTGTGACACAGACTGAGCTAAAAATGGGTAAAGAGGGATTATTGGAAGGACAGGCTGTATTTTTGAAAAAACTGTCAAGGACGAGATGATGAGTGCATCTGAGAATGTTGAGGGAAGTAAGGATAGAGATTGATTAAGTACTTCTAATCCTCCTTTAGATATGGGGGTGGTGCGAGAGGTCTGAGGAATTTGCAGGTATTACGCACTTGTAAACTAAAGGTGTATAAGGATAAATCTGGGACAAAGTTAACAGTCGCTTGGATAAGGTGGATTAATTAAGGAAAGCCGGCGTACATTTATTAAAAAATAAACTGTGTTTAACCTTTATTAGCCAGCAAAAAACTCAAACAAGTTAACAAGGGCGGTGCAGTTAATGTGGTATACATAAACCTTTAAAAGATGTTTGATAAACTGAGACATAATAGACTTGCCAGCAAAAATCGTGACCAATGGAATAAAAGTAACAGTGGCATCATGGATGTGAGGTAGGTGGAGTGACTGTAAGCAGTGAAATGGTGAATGCTTGTGTTTTGCACTAGTGGAATATATATAATGATGGGCGAAATTGCAACTGTTCTCCTTAAAGAAAATTGAAGAAAATTGTTAGTGATACCCCTAATCATTAACAGAGTAGATAACCTATCTGTTAAGGCTCATTAACCACAGGATTTCTCTGGTATTTTTGCCAATCACCTTAAATCATGCTTAACATGAGTACAGTGCTTTTTATTCAGCAATGCACTGCCTGAAAGTGAAGTGGAGGCAGATGGCCTTCAAAAGAGAAATTGACAATTAAATCAAAGGAGAGACATTTGCAGGGCTGTGGAAAAAAGGCAAGAGTGAGGCAAGGTGAACATCTCTTACAGCTTTCTGACGTGGTCATTACACATCATATGGTCTCCTGTGCTGTCACCATTCTGATTCTTTTATTGATGATATTCTATTTATTGTGTTTGGGGGTTGTATGTGAAGCTGTGTACTAATTTCAACATTGGTTCTGCTTTAGAATTTTCACTAAACATTTGTTTTTGTTCTTGTGCAGCAACATGACTGGCTTGGAGTACATTCTACTACATGCTCAGGAGCCCATACTGTATATTATTCGGAAGCAGCACAGACACTCTCCAACGCAAGGTAAGACATATCTGTGTCAGAGAAGGTAGTTGTTATGCAGTTAAGAGCAACTTTCCAGTGCTTCATGTACCAGGTATCTTTAATGTTTAGAACATTGTTATATTTGTGTAGTTTTGATAAAGATTCATTCCAAACTTCTTTATCCATGTGACTACTCCAAAGTTGTTTGCTTTCATTCAAGCTAGGAATGTTCAGCTTAATAAACAGAAAATACAGAACATTGCAGCGGAGGTATATTGATGATAAAAATGAGGATAGGCAAATTCAGTCCAAAGTTGTAGCATTGACTGATGTTTGAATTTTATGTAGAAGAGCTATTACAGATGAAGGAACAAATAGTGGTTGCAGCATTTTCCACCACTGACCCTCCAAATAATTTTTCCTGTGTGGCTGCTCTTGATTATGTTCTGTTTAGTTTTGCCAATTATTTAATGTTTATAACTTGCAATGTAAACCTAGACTTTTACCTACTCCTAAACTAGCACTGTCTAGGAATAAATACTTGCCCAAATCTCATCAAAAACAGGTCAATGTCCAAAAACTAGACTGATGAAAATTCTTAGCATCTCCTAAGTCATCGTTCACCAACTGAATGGTTGATTCAGCTGCTAATCATGAAGAAGCTGGCTTTTTAAAATCTCTCAATTGTTAGCACTAATCAACACCTATAATGCAGGATATGTTTTAACTAACTAAATTAGATAAATATGCAGTTTGGCTGGTTCAATTTGCATGCCTCCCTCTCTAAAGTCTTCATATTCTTTGCATTTTCCACATCCTAAATATTAACAATTATTCCAAACGTAAAACTAAAGCCATGTGTACACATTCTGACAAATAGTAGAATACAGCTACATTAAGAAGTTTTTATTATGCACTATGCAACAACATAGTCACTGCTGTAATACAGAGGAAAGTGACAGCTGGTTTGCATTATAATAAAAGAAAACAGATAACCTATTTCAGCAGCATGGCTGAGGGTTAAGTGCTGGCTAGGGCTTCAATATAAGGTCTTTTGCAAGGAAGAAAAAAGTACCAGTTCCTAAAATAGGTACACTCCATCAGTACCACATTGAAGTGACAATGCAAACCAAATCTGTGAAGCCTGTGGAGTAGTATTTGAATCCATAACCTGCATTAAGAGAATCCTCATTTGATGCAGCATGGAAGAAGGCCACTTGATCCATATGTTTGTGTCTGAACATTCTTTCCTTTGTGTCAGAAGATTGTGAGAGTTTAAGTCCCTTGTTAGAACTTAAATATACCATCAAGTTTGTCACTCAGTTGCACAAATGGGATAACTGCATAGTGACTGTACAATTCTTGGGCTAAGAATTTACTCTAAAGCCTGTCTACCTCCTATGTTGGTATTGATGTGGATATTGAGATTGCATGGCACTATTTTGCAATAGCAGCAATGATGCTTCCTCATTTTGTTGCTGCTTTGGGGACTTTCGTTTGTGTGGGATGGCGATAGCACTGGAGCCAATGAGTCGCTGTACCTCAATTTGTAAGCGAGGTGCTTTGAAATGTTTGCGGAAGATGTGTTAATGTATCATAAAAATACAAGTCTGTATTTTAACATTTAGATTCAGTTAACAAGTAGCTTCGAAAAAAGATTGACTCATAAAATATGTTTGAGATTGGGATCCAACTGCCAAAATTCCTGTAATTGTTCCATATTGAGCCACTTTACTGAAGGCTGTTTCCATGTGTCTGACTGCTGCGTCTTCTCTGAAGTGACGGGCACGTCTTACTTGCCCAGATTTGTTTCCTGCCATAGAAATCATCTTGCCTTATGGCAATCATATGAGCAGCATTAATTATCCCCCAGTGCGTTACCCACGTATCCATTCTGTATATGTCTTTCTGGACAGTGCCAGTCAGTCTGGCTATGCAATCCAAAGGCATCTCAGCAAGTTTTAATCCACTCTTCATCTGATTTGCATGCAAACAAACAAGAGCCGTAAGAGTGGGAACCCTGTCTCAACCCTAAATCACATTAAGTATGCCTATCATCTTCAAGGTTGAGATTATTTAATGCACAGAGGGAAATTAAAACAGAGATATTGTGATCTACGCAGCATAATGTCAAACTATTGGAGGAAATTCTGAAGGGTTAAATTAATGAATGTTAACCACTTGCTAATCGTATTATAACATTAATTATTCTTTATCCTTAAAATAAATTCTATTCTCTATATGATTTTAGATTAATTCTTTGTGCTAATTGTGTTCCTGTTCTAGTTACTCCTTTAGCTGACTATTATATCATTGCTGGAGTGGTGTATCAAGCGCCTGATTTGGGATCAGTAATAAACTCTAGAATGGTGGGTGACTTTGTTTCAAGTGATTTTTTATTGCTAGTTAGTGGTATGTCTCAATCAAAAATGATGTTTTTTGATTGTGAATATTGATAAGGTTGCTGATAACACTTAAACTGAAGAACCTGGTCAATTTGTTGTATTTGCAGTGCAAGTTGGCTTTTTTATGGCCTGCCTTGTCTGCAAGCAAAGAAAGGAAAATATGCCTTTTCTCCTGTCCCTCCCTTTGTAGTTGTATTATGCATAAGTGAAAATTGAGAGATATTGTAAGACCTGTTACATTTTCTGTCGCTAATTCACTAGTAGAAAAAGGCATTAAACTGATAGAAGAAACTAATGTCAGATTTAAATGCAACTATTTCATTCAAGCTTTACAAACAAATCATGAAATGCAATAATACAGAAAGATGACATTTGGCCTGTCGCGTCTATACTGGCTCTTCTAAAGAGCAATTCTTTATAGTCTTACTCCCATTTTCTTTCCTTATAACTCTGCACTTTTCCTCCTTCAAGCATTTATCTAATCCATTTTAGAAGGCTACTATTGAATCTGCATTTACTTTCCTAACTTGGTAAATTCCAAATCCTAACACTTGATTTTCACAAAAAGGTTTCTCCTCATGTTCTCTCAGGTTCTTTAGTAAGTGACCTTAAATTTGTGTCTTCTGTTTATTGATCCTTCAACCATTGGAAACAGTTTGTCTTTAATTATAAAGATAGAATCATTATTTATGCTATAAAATCTCCACTTAGTTTCTCTATTAGGTGGATTCTAAGAAGAATAACCCTAGCTTCTCCAGTCCAGCCATATAACTATAATCCCTCATTCCTGAAATCATTCTACTAATCTTTTCTGTAACTTTTCCAAAGCTTTCAAAACCTTTCTAAAATGTGGCAGCCAGAATTGGACATAGTACTCAAGCTGGGTCAGAACTAACATGTTTTATAGGGTTGGAATAACTTAATCGTTCTCTGTGTCTCTATTATAAATTGGAGAATGTCATATACTTTATTAACTACTTGTTAACACATCTTGTCACCTTCAAAGGTTTGTGCAGAAAACATTCTCAAGTCTTTCAGTTCTTTTAAAAACTGTGCAATGTATATTTAGTAATTATGATTCCGTGTATTTTTGCTATCAAAGGTGTCACCTCAGTTTGTAACACTGAATTTAATCTGCCATTTGTCTACCTGTTCCATCAATGTCTGTATGTCCTCTTGATGTCGATTATTTTCCTCAATGTTTACTATACGCCCAAGTTTTCATCGTCATCATCATCATAGAATCCGTACAGTGTGGAAACAGGCCCTTCGGCCCAACAAGTCCACACCGACCCTCAGAGCATTCCACCCAGAACCATCTCCCCCATAATCCACCTAATATGCACATCCCTGAACACTACGGGCAATTTAGCATGTTCAGTCCACCGAGCCTGCACCATGGCTGGTTTTGCTGTACAAAAGGGCGGGAAAAAGAGTGGAAGGGCTGTAGTCATAGGGGATTCGACTGTAAGGGAAGTAGATAGGTGGTTCTGTGGTCGAAAACGAGACTCCCGAATGGTATGTTGCCTCCCAGGTGCATGGGTCAGGGATGTCTCAGATCAACTGCAGGACATTCTGAAGGGGGAGGGTGAACAGCCAGCTGTCGTGGTGCATATAGGCACCAATGATATAGGTTAAAAAATGGGATGAGGTCCTACAAGCAGAATTTAGGGAGTTAGGAGCCAAGTTAAAAAGTAGGACCTCAGAGGTAGTAATCTCAGGATTGCTATCAGTGCCACATGCTAGTCAGAGTAGAAATGAAAGAATAGGCAGGATAAATGAGTGGCTTGAAAGATGGTGCAGGAGGGAGGGGTTCAGATTTTTGGGACACTGGGACTGGTTCTCGGGGAGGTGGGACTATTACAAATCGGACAGTCTACACCTGGGCAGGACTGGAACCAATGTCCTAGGGGCTGCTTTTGCTAACGCTGTTGGGGAGGGTTCAACCTAATGTGTCGGGGGATGGGAAACAAATGAGGAGGTTAGTGGACAGTAAGGAGGTAGTAACTAAAGCCTGTAAGGAACTAGATAATGAAGTCGGTGTGACTAAGGGGAAGAGTAGGCAGAGAACAGATGATGAACGCAAAGGGACAGGTGGTCTGAGGTGCATTTGTTTTAATGCGAGAAGTGTAGTAGGTAAGGCAGATGAACTTAGGACTTGGATTAGTACCTGGGAGTGTGATGTTATTGCTCTTACTGAGACTTGGTTGAGGGAAGGGCAAGATTGGCAACTAAATATTCCAGGATATAGATGCTTCAGGCGGGATAGAGACGGAGGTAAAAGGGCTGGAGGAGTTGCATTATTGGTCAAAGAGGATATCACAGCTGTGCTGAAGGAGGGCAGTATGGAGGACTTGAGCAGTGAGGCAATATGGGCAGAGCTTAGAAATAGGAGGGGTGCGGTAACAATGTTGGGGCTGTACTACAGGCCTCCCAACAGCGAACGTGCGATAGAGGCACAAACATGTAGACAGATTATGGAAAGATGTAGGAGCAACAGGGTGGTGGTGATGGGAGATTTTAATTTTAATTTTCCCAACATTGACTGGGATTTGCTTAGTGTTAGGGGTTTAGATGGAGCAGAATTTGTAAGGAGCATCCAGGAGGGTTTTATGGAGCAGTAGGTAAATAGTTCAACTCGGGAAGGGGCCGTACAGGACCTGGTGTTGGGGAATGAGCCCGGCCAGGTGGTTGAAGTTTCAGTAGGGGATTACTTTGGGAATAGTGATCACAATTCCGTAAGTTTTAAAATACTGATGGGCAAAGACGAGAGTGGTCCTAAAGGAAGAGTGCTGAATTGGGGGAAGGCCAACTATAGCAAAATTCGGCAGGAGCTGGGGAATGTGGATTGGGAACAGGTGTTTGAGGGTAAATCCACATTTGATATGTGGGATGCTTTTAAAGAGAGGTTGATTAGAGTGCAGGACAGACATGTCCCTGTGAAAATAAGGGATAGGAAGGGCAAGATTAGGGAACCATGGATGAAGGTGAAATTGTGAGATGAGCAAAGAGGAAAAAGGAAGCATACATAAGGTCTAGGCGACTGAAAACAGACGAAGCTTTGGAAGAATATTGGGAAAGTAGGACCAATCTGAAACGAGGAATTAAGAGGGCTAAAAGGGGTCGTGAAATATCTTTAGCAAACAGGGTTAAGGAAAATCTCAAAGCCTTTTATTCATACATAAGGAGCAAGAGGGTAACTAGAGAAAGGGTTGGCCCACTCAAGGACAAAGGAGGGAAGTTATGCGAGGAGTCGGAGAAAATGAGTGAGATTCTTAATGAGTACTTTGCGTTGGTATTCACTGAGGAGAGGGACATGACAGATGTTGAGGTTAGGGATAGCTGTTTGATTACTCTAGGTCAAGTCAGCATAAGGAGGGGGAAGTGTTGGGTATTCTAAAAGGCATTAGGGTGGACAAGTCCCCAGGTCCGGATGGGATCTATCCCAGGTTACTGAGGGAAGCGAGAGAGGAAATAGCTGGGGCCTTAACAGATATCGTTGCAGCATTCTTGAGAATGGGTGAGGTCCCAGAGGACTGGAGAATTGCTAATGTTGTCCCCTTGTTTATGAAGGGTAGCAAGGATAATCCAGGTAATTTTAGACCGGTGAGCCTGACGTCAGTGGTGGGGAAGCTGCTGGAGAAGATACTGAGGGATAGGATCTATTTACATTTGGAAGAAAATGGGCTTATTAGTGATAGGCAGCATGGTTTTGTGCAGGGAAGGCCATGTCTTACCAACTTGATAAAATTCTTTGAGGAAGTGACAAAGTTGATAGATGAGGGAAGGGCTGTAGATGTCATATACATGGACTTCAGTAAGATGTTTGATAAGGTTCCCCATGGTAGGCTGATGGAGAAAGTGAAGTCGCATGGGGTTCAGGGTGTACTAGCGAGATGGATAGAGAACTGGCTGGGCAACAGGAGACAGAGAGTTGTAATGGAAGGGAGTTTCTCAAAATGGAGAACTGTGACCAGTGGTGTTCCACAGGGATCCGTGTTGGGACCACTGTTGTTTGTGATATACATAAATGATCTGGATGATAATGGAATAGTTTAGGTTAGATGGGCTTCAGATTGGTTTCACAGGTTGGCGCAACATCGAGGGCCGAAGGGCCTGTACTGCGCTGTAATGTTCTATGTTCTATGGAGGAAGGTATAAATGGTCTGATTAGCAAGTTTGCAGATGACACTAAGATTGGTGGAGTAGCAGATAGTGAAGGGGACTGTTGGAGAATGCAGCAGAATATAGATAGATTGGAGAGTTGGGTGGAGAAATGGCAGATGGAGTTCGATCCAGGCAAATGCGAGGTGATGCATTTTGGAAGATCCAATTCAAGAGCGAACTATGTGGTAAATGGAAAAGCCCTGGGGAAAATTGATGCACAGAGAGATCTGGGTGTTCAGGTCCATTGTACCCTGAAGGTGGCAACGCAGGTGGATAGAGTGGTCAAGAAGGCATATGGCATGCTTTCATTCATCGTACGGGCTATTGAGTACAAGAGTTGGCAGGTCATGTTGCAGTTGTATAGGCCTTTGGTTTGACCACATTTGGAATACTGCGTACAGTTCTGGTCGCCACATTACCAAAAGGATGTGGATGCTCTGGAGAGGATGCAGAGGAGGTTCACCAGGATGTTGCCTGGTATGGAGGGCACTAGCTATGAAGAGAGGTTGAGTAGATTAGGATTATTTACATTAGAGAGACAGAGGTTGAGGGGGGACCTGATTGAGTCTACAAAATCATGAGAGGTATGGACAGGGTGGATAGCAAGAAGCTTTTCCCCAGAATGGGGGACCCAATTACTAGGGATCACGATTTCAAGGTGAGAGGGGAAAAGTTTAAAGGGGATATGCGTGGAAAGTTCTTTACGCAGAGGGCGGTGGGTGCCTGGAACGCGTTGCCAGCGGAGGTGGTAGAGGCCGGCATGATAGCGTCATTTAAGATGTATCTAGACAGATACATGAATGAGCATGGAGCAGAGGGATACAGATCTTTGGAAAATAGGCGACAGGTTTAGATAGAGGATCTGGATCGGCACAGGCTTGGAGGGCCAAAGGGCCTGTTCCTGTGCTGTAATTTTCTTTGTTCTTTGTTCTTTGTTCTTTGGACTGTGGGAGGAAACCGGAGCACCCGGAGGAAAGCCACACAGACACAGGGAGAATGTGCAAGCTCCACATAGACAATCACCCAAGGCTGGAATCAAACTCGGGTTCCTGGCGCTGTGAGGCAGCAGCGCTAACCACTGAGCTACTGTGCTGCCCGCATTGTTCATTTGCAAATTACAAAACTTTACTCTACACCCCTAAAGGCAAATCCTCTGAAGAGTTGTGGCCAGCACGTCAGCAATGTAGGATGCATTACATGTGGACCAGGTTGCTTCCATGAATCATTTGAACTTATTATTGATAGCATTATGGAAATGTGCAGTCTGCACGATTGCCATGTTCGCCTACTGATGGTATTCTCTAGGTTTAACAAGTGTTTTGAAACTGAAATTTTTTGGTACTTGTGTAATTGGAACACCATGTAAGCCTCTGTGTAATAGTGTTAAACTACATCGTGCATCTAGTCATGCTCATTTCAATGCTGTGTCATACTGTGGTACATGTGCTAATCTCCATTTCCTTTCAAGACAGCGTTTTTTTTTCCATGCACTGTGAAAAGAATGGTGCATTACTGGAGATGTGGCAACTGATGCATTGCTTTTATTTCTTTCTACCTCAATTAGCTGACAGCAATACATGCAGTTCAGTCTGCATTTGATGAAGCCATGTCTTACTGCCGATACCATCCTTCCAAAGGATATTGGTGGCATTTCAAGGATCAAGATGAGAGGGGTAAGTCCTAACATGGTGCTAGCAGGAAGTTTGCTAAAGCCTTCTAAAGATGGCCACTTTCACAAAATGTTAGTAGTATACCGTCTGCTGGAAAAACATAACCTGATGTGGGGCACTTAACGTCTTCAATCTGTGGATGAAGGACCCTTCTATGTTGTATGTCCTCTTGATTCTCAGCAAGCTTTTGTCGTGAGCTAGAGAATTTTAGCG